TGGAATCAAATATAGCTATATTTTGTGACAAATCTGAAGGGAAATAGATACAGTGACTTTGTGACTTTGTGAAATAGAAAATATCTTGCTAATTTCAGCCCACGTGGAACATGTGAATGCCTGTGAGAAGAACTCTGGGTCAGGTGGCAGACTTTTGTTCTTGTTCTACTTCTGCTAGTTACTAATTGTGAGATTCTGGGGTAAGTTCCCTTAACAGCTTCCATTTCAGTCCTCAAATCTGTATAACAACTGGAATATTTCAAATTATTGTTGTGCAAAGCAAGAGTGGTGAGTATGACATATGCAGTGACTGTGGGAAGTCAGTCATTTGTATGTCTTGAGCAACCCTGAAGTTTTCTTAAGTGAAGGATCTGCCATTGCTTGATCTTTGTTTTCTTTGGGTTTCCATCTTCTCACTCCACTCACCCTGTTTCTCTCAAATGAAAGGTCATTGCCAGAGGTTAAGTTGGTTACAGAGGAGTTGGAGTGACATCACCAACCACCATTGCAACCAGACATTGACTGGTGCTTCTAGTGTGAAAATGTAGTGTTCGGCATATGCTACAGGAAGGTGCAGCTGCACGCAAATTGCAATTTCCTCTGACTCTTGGCCACTGTTGTAGAAGCCGTGGAGTGATAGTTCTTGGGCAACTAAATGGTTTCTGTTTGATAAGTGATAGTGGTATACTCTGCTACATGCTTGGGGATGTGAATCTTTGTTTAAAGTCAAAGCAAAAAGGGAAGTAGGTATCAAAAGATGGGAAGATGTTCAAAGGAACGGTGTTAACCAAACAGCTCACATGCTCTGGTTAAAGACTGGTTCACGCTCTACTTGCTTGGATTTATTCACTGATAGAAATTGATTTTACCTTTCGTCCTCAGCTTTTATTTGTGATTTGTATTCTCCAAAACCCTTTATTCTAAAGAAATGGCAAGCATTTTAGGTCCCGATCTCCAATTTCTCCTAAAGGGTGACATATATTCTTGACTTCCTTTCTTGGGCAACAGAAATAACCAATAATGTTATAACCATAATCTTCCTTCCTTCCCTCAAATATATTTAATGAGAACCTATTATGTTCCCCTGTTCTATGTTCTGGGGACAGAGCACTGTCCAAAATAACTTTTTGAAAATACTGCTTTCATAGATTTACATTCTAGTGGGTGTTAGTCATTGCTGTTAAAGTAAGGATTGGTATTAAGGAATATGGAGAAAAATAGAGTTGGGGAGGGGCAGTTGCCATATTTTTAGGGGTGATGAGGTAGGCCTCACCAAGGTGGTGACATTTAAGATTAATCTTTACTCTGAGGTCCCCAGTTATATAATCAGTTAGTAGTTATTGCTGGGAAGAGAAAATCCTAAATCTGATATGCTTGTGGCTATTCCTGAAGTACTTTAAAGATTGTTAGGGGTATTAGAGATCAAACTGATCATCTGCCACCAAGGTTCTAGCTGCTTATTGTCTGAAAGACTTTTGTGAGGTTACTCTAGAGGCCATGGTGCCTCATTCTAAACCAAGTCATCCCCCTTTCCAAGGTAATATCTTTGCAGTGGCCATAGTGATGCAGCTGTTCTCCAGGAGATCTGCTGAATTTGAGGGGCAAGGATCCAACAGAACAATTTAGCAGTAGGCTCTTAGAGCCTCTCCTTTGCCAGGGCCTTTGCTGCTTCACACAGATTACACTAGTAATCTGACCCATGCTTACCCTCTATAGAGAAGTAGTAAAAATGATGATAAGCTTTGCAACTTGATTTTTCTTCCTCTAAACGTTCCTCTAGGGCATCCCTGGTGGTGCAGGTGGTAGAGCGCAGCACTGTGAATTGTCTGCAGCCGCTGCAGTGTGGGTTCGATCCCCCGGCAAGCCAGGGAGCTACTCACATTGTGCAGCAGATCTCTCCTGACTCGCCCGATGCTCCCCTCAGCAGCATATTTCAGTCGATCTGCCTGTTCTGTTCCCCACTCTGTCTCTGGTGAATCCTCTCACCCCCAGCACCTCTGGCCTGTACCCCAGTTCTTGTATGCATAAATAAACAAATCTTTTTAAAAAAGATATGAATAGAGAATTAAGAGTAAAGCTCCCTATTCATACAGGGGTAAAAATGAATCCATGTTTACTAAATATAGGGGAACAAAATAAAATATCAGTGTAAAAAATAATAGTACAAAACACAACAAAGCAAAAAGAGACAATGATAAATCAGACATCCTGCAGGGAAGGAGGCAGGAGAGGGATCAGAGGGAGGGAGGGAGGAGCACAGGGGACTGAGGTGATGGTGCACAGGTGCATTGGTGAAGGAAACTCTATGGGACTACACCTGAGGGGGTGAGGGGAAGCAAATAATGTTTTAAAATGAACAATTATGTAAAAAATAAAAAAAATTAAAAAAAAAGAAAAAAAATGAAAACTTACAAGGAAGTGAGAACTACTAAGATGGCAATTAAGCAAGATGAAGTAAAAGGGAATAACTGGGGAACTCTTTTTTTTTTTTTTTAAAGATTTATTTATTTATTTATTTATACAAGCACTGGGTACAGTCAGAAGTGCAGGAGGGTGAGAGAATTCACCAGAGCCAGAGCGGGGAGCAGAAGAGGCAGAAAGACCGAAGTACACTGCTGGGGGGAGAAGCAGGCGGCAGGAGAGGTCTGCACACCATGTGGGACCCTCCTCCGTGTGGGACCCTCCTCTGGCTGGGAGCAGCTGGGTATCAAACTGGCGCAGCAGAGGCTGCGGGCAGCTTCGCAGCCCAGCTGCTCAACCGCTGCGCCACCGGGGAAGCCCAGGGGAACTCTTTAAGAAAGCTAATTAAGGAAGACTTCTTTGAGGAAGTAATTCATAAACCAAGGCAGGCAACAAGATAACAAGTACTCAAGACCTTGCTCTGTAGTTGGGATTTATGGAGGGTGGACAATGGTAATTGACAGAAATTGCAGGACTGGATTCTCTTTTGCTTTAAAGATAAGGTAAGGATTTTAGACTTTATTCTAGATTTGATGGGAAGTTATTGGCTAGGAGAATGACATCTGACTTAGGTTTATAAAAGAGTTCCTGAATACCTCTGGAGTGTAAGTACAGGTGTCTGTTGTCCAAAAATAGAACTTTCCTATTTGATATAATTTGGCAGGTTTTTTTTTTTTGATCTGAGAATGCTATTATCATTAATTCATAGAGAAATGTTTTCTAGCATTCCCAGGCCCATATCAAATCAAACAGAAATGTTTGATTTTTGGATTGTGGGGGAGACCTATATGTAAAGTAGAAGCGTGGAGGCCCATTAGGAAGATGGGAGTAGATGGTGATTTAGACTGGGACAGTAGCTGTACATATAGATATAAACTTGCTAACGTGTTGAATGAAGAGCTAGGGAAAGAGGATAAGAAATGATTCCTAGATTTGGGGCTTCAATAGCTGGTAGATGTGTTTCTTAAGAGAGAGAAAGCAAGGAGGAGCAGGTTTGGGGGTGAATTGGTAACTATTTTGAATGTGTCTGGTTGCGATGCCCCTGTATGGATGTCAAGTAGGAAGTAAGATTTGCCAGGCTGGAGTTCAGAAGGAAGTCAGGAATAGAAATTTACACCTGGGAGCCCTCCCTCTCCTTCCTAAGGATGGTATATAAAGCTCTCCAAAGTCTTTTTGCCTTCTTAAAAGAAAATGGAGTTCAGAGTTTCTAAAGCCCTCAGTGTGTGCACTTTATCAACAGTTAGCTCGCTTAGGTGGACTGCTTCTGTTTCTAAGCCTTCCCTTTGTGGGAACTGCTTTCATTGAAGGTTGCTTCTATCTTTACTGTGGGCAGGGCAGTGTGTAGTGCCAGGAAGGCACAGAGCTGGTTCTCTGATCGGAGAAGACAGGTAAAGGAGAGTCTTGGAGCCCTCGGTGGCTTTGCAGGCTTTTATAGAGCTTTTAAATGTAGTGCGACAACCAGGTACATGGCAGGTAGGAGTGTCAGGTGGCCAGGAGATTGGCAGGCCTCCCAGCCCCTGGCAAATCTTCACTCTTTACTGGGCTCCCTGGCGTTCTCTTTTCAATGTGGCGTCTCCACAAGCTACGTTCCCCACCTGTTCCCCACCTGTTCCCCAAGGATGGGTTCCTCAGCTCCTCACCGTCACTCAACAATGAACAGGGCATCACCCACAGGTGATTTTAAGAGACTCAGTGGCCTTCCTTAATATACTCAAGCTGCTGAACAGCTGCTCAGGGCTTCCCAATCTCAGCACCAGCTTTTGCCTTTCTAAATTGGCTTTTTGATCTCCTTCTCTTGTCTGCTCAAATCATAAAAAACCAGCTCTGTGCCTTCCTGGCGCTACACAGCGTGAACAAGAAAGAAACATTTGCTGGACCTGTGATAGGAGTGCTGCTCAATTTTTCAGAAATTTTAATCTTCACTTGATCTAATGAAGCTAAAATTTGAGCTTAGAAGTGAGTTGACCATTTTAAGGTAGATTCTAGATTAAGAGTGTTCTTAAATTATTATAGTCATAAATTGATATTGTTATTGCAAAACAAATATAAGGTAATATAAGTTACAGGAAGCAAAGTTTTTAGTGCTTTTGTTTATTCTCATTTCACAGGGCACCTTTGTTGAGATACAAACACAAAACTAAATAAAAATTTCAAAATATGAAAATGTGTCTGTACTTCCAGATGATATTCCCAACTTGAGTTTGACATTTAACTTTACTAGAATAACATATGGATATTTTCCATTTTTATCTGTTTGATTAGTTGTTTTCTTATACAGCTTTATCCTTGTTTAAACTTGATACAATTTTATGTCTTTCTTAAACCTTTTCCTAACCCAATGTCAAACTCCAGGGTTTGTCCTTAGCTTTCGCCATACTTTTTTTTTTTTTTTTTTTTTGAATTTGTAAAATTCAAGTGAAATTTACTGTGTGGTATAGGACAAAGCACAGACTTTTAATTTTTTGCCTTGTTGAAAAGAATTGGGAGTTTAAAAATACAGTCGAGCCCCTATTTTCCTGACTGAGTCTTGTTCATTGCAGATAAACTCTCCCAATGGCTATGTGGTGAGCACAAGGTCCTAACCCAGCGGGGCAAGGAAAGGCCCACAGCCGAGCCTGGCAAGATGGTCTCACAGTCTTCGGGCCGGCAGGATTCTCCCATGAGCGCTTGGGAAGGCATCAGCCATGACTCCGGTGATGCTGAGGTTTCGCCCAGCCTCTCATACACTGACCACTGCCCTCGCCAATCAGAGGTCAGGTTCAGGAGGCCCAAAGCTGCCTGGATTAACCCCCAGTGTGCACAGCAACAGCTGCAAGACTCACCCCCCCAGGTGCTAACAGCAGCAGATGCTGCCGCTCCCTTGGCCTCTTCACCGACGTCCCTTGGCCCCTCGGTGGCGAAGACATCACTGACAAAGGACGCTGTGGGCTCCCTGCGCAGCTGCTTCGTCTGTGACTCGGGTGAACAGAACAGCGACTCCTCTTTGACCTCAATAGAAGAGCGGCCAGAGCTTCTGGGACACACTCCGCACACGCCTCCGCTCGCTCGCCCCAAGATTTTGGTCACGTGCCCACGCCCTGAGGCTGGCCGTGCTTGGCTGCAGCCCGCCCACCAGGCAACTTCCACAGAGGACGGTAACTTTAGTCGGGAACTTCCTTCATTCTGGTTGCTTCACAGCTTGCTTTGTGTTACCTAGAGCCTGACTTACTCTTCCTCACGGAAAAAAAAAAAAAAAAAAAAAAGGATCCACTTCTGGTCCCCTTAGCCCAGAGCTAATGCATTAGCAATTGATACCCTCGGCCCAAACTCCTGGACAGTCATAACGGGTGAAATCAAGTATTTCCTTCTGCCTTAGACATCAGGGAAATCTCTTCTTAGTTCAATTAATTGATAATCCTTTCCGCTTGGCGCGTTTGAGCTGGTGTCTACCTTCAGAATTTCCAGTTCGTTAAAATGCCTACAAGGGAGCATTGGAAGGACCGTCGCTTCATGTGGCGGACAAGGGCTCCAGACAAGTGGGGGAGGTCGGTTTTACAGCCCAACTATAGTCGGGGATGAATGCACCTCCTCTGCTATATTAGCTATATATGTGTGTCTAAAAAGCTGTAAGATTTAAAATAGTAACCACAACTCCTCCAAAGACTGCACAAAACCTTCTTTTATTAAAACAAGGACTCTCATTATTACAAGAGAATACTCATATTCCTAAAATTCTAAAATTCCTAAAATGATGTAATCTGTGCAAAATGCCACTCAAGAATCAATAATACTGTTTTTTGTTATTATAAATTGTAAGTATTGATTGTATTTTATTCATTACTTGCATTAATTTATCTTTCTTTTAGAACCTTAATTTAAATATTTAAATAGTCAATGAGAATTTTTCATTCAAAACAATTTCAAAAGTGTCCCCCCCCCATTTCTGTGCGTATGTGTGTGTTTATTCCTCACTAGCAGGAACCTATTCCCCATTCCTAAGTTTGGGGTTTATCGAAAACTTGAAATACAAAATAACCACAATCTTTAACACATCATTTAATAATAACAGATTTTAGAAAATCTTTCAGTGGGAAAATTTTGAGATAGGAATCAAATTTTAGCAAAATGTCACACTCTGATTATAACATGTAATCTTTTTTTGTTCACCCACCCAGATAGTTCTCAGGAAAATAGACTTTCAAATTAGTGGTTACTAAGTAAGAGACTAGTCTGCTATTACACTGTGTCACAGAATGACAACTGGGAGAAAAGAAAACACCCTCTTCCTGCAAACCACCACCCAGACAAGTTATGAAGTGACTGAAGATGATCTGTAGGATCATCTAGGATACCTCTGCTTGAAGTCCTTTGTTGTATAACTGTTCAGGAAGTGGTCTTACAATTTAAAATTATCCTGGATCTTTGTCTTCCTTCCAGAAAGAGAACAGGTACCCCAGCCTTGGGCTTAAGAGAATATCTCTTAAACTTGACAAGGGGAAGTATTCCATGGGATAAGAAAAAGTAGTCCTAAGTGCTCTGTCTCAGTCTTTCTGTGGTGTGGGGCCGCACAGGGAGGGCAGTCCTGTGCCACTAAGATGTGGGGTTTTCTTCTGACTGCTGCATCTCAATTTTAGCACCAGGGTTTTCCTTTTCTAGATAGTTTGGTAGGGAAAGAACACCTGAGACTGTAAGCATTTCTGGAGACCACAAGAAACAACTCCACAGATATAGAAAATGCAGAGGAATAGACAAAAGTAAACCAAAGCAAACCTAGAAATTTGGCTGCAGTTTGCAGAAAGTCTACTGTAAGGGCAGGGTGGAAGATGGCTGGCAAAGAGCAGAGGATGACCAGTGCACTGGGGTAGGTTTTTGTTGCTTTGGAGTTAGATGTGGTTTGGCAACATTTATTTATCACAATGTGAACCTATATCCCTAAACTAAAGTTACCTCAATTTAAAAACTTTAGAAAAATTAAAAATAAGTGAAAAGAAACTTAGGGTTTCATAGTTTTTTTTTTTAAAGGAAATCTGCATTCCTTTATTTTTATTTATTTACTTATTTATTTATTTATATAAGCACTAGGTACAGTCAGAAGTGCAGGAGGGTGAGAGAATTCACCAGAGCCAGAGCGGGGAGCAGAGCAGGCAGAAGGACTGAAGTACACTGCTGAGGGGAGCAGCAGGAGGCAGGAGAGGTCTGCACACCATGTGGGACCCTCCTCCGATGGCCGGGGAGCAGCTGGGGATCAAATCGACGCTGCAGAGGCTGCGGGCAGCTTTGCAACCCAGCGCTCAACCGCTGCGCCACCGGGGAGGCCCAAGGGTTTCATAGAGTTTTATAGGGTCAATACATTTATATAATGCAAAACTTCACATTCTTAATTTTCTCTAGTCTCCTAGTAGATAATTAATCCAATTTAAGGGATGAGGGATTTTAATGCAGTAGCAGGGACTGCTTTGACATCTGGGACTGGAATCAACTTCTCTGTGCTTTTTCCTTTATACCTAGGGTTTGAAAACTATGACTTGTGGACCCAATCTGGCTAGCCTTTTCCTCTTACAAATAAAGTTTTATTTAGTCAATGGCTGCTTTCTCACTGCAGTGGCAAAATGGAGCAATTGCCACAGATGGTATATGGCTGTAGAGGCAAGAATGGACACAGTGCAGGTTTTCTGATCCAGCAGACCGGGTAAAGGAGGAGTCAGAGTCCTCAGTGATTTTTGCAGGTCTTTTATTGGGATTTACCAGGTACACAGCAGGCAAGGGTGCTGGGGGGATGGGAGGCTGGCAGGCCTCCCAGCCCCCAGCAAGCCCTCACTCTATCTGGGCTCTCTGGTGATTTCTGCTTCTTTGCTTCTTTCTCGGCTTCTCTTTTGGCTTCTGCTGGCATCCCGTGACGCTGCCCTTAAAAGCCCAGTCTCAGCCCAGGTGAATCCCATCTACCTATGCCCACACCCTATTCCAGGTGCCCATCATCAGGCATGCATTCAGGACTGCAAGGATCCATCATCTATCCTGATGGTGGGAGGGCAGAAAAGCCTGACATTTTTCCTTACCCTACAGTCCACCCCCTCAGGGTTTTCTGCCATACAGTCTTCATATATACAATTTTCTTAGCAAACATAAACAATGCAGCCATGTCCCACAAAAGCAAATATATCACACTATAACAACAACAACAAAAAAATACAACAGAACACAAATAAGTCCAGGCAGGGCCCCAACCTAGTGGCAAAAGACAATTATTGGAACCAGCAGATGAGCCACCACTTTTGCTTCCAAAGGCACTGCTCATACAAGGGAGGGGAACCACTCACGGCATCTGCTGTAACACACCAGGAGCCGTCAGGCTTCCTGGCCTTCTCTGGCTGTAGTCTCGGCTACAAGCCACACACTGCATCCACCCCCAGGATGCACTCACTCTGGGATTGGCGATTCTGTTCTATTGTTGGGGGTAATTGCCAACCCTCAGGGTTTCTGTCTGCAGTCGCTCCAACACTCGGCTTTCATAGCCACCAATGCGACGCGCAGACCCCTGCACTCAGGCCAACCCACTGCACAAGCTCATGGGTCGGGGATCCAAACTCTACATTTGGCTTGGGCTCCACCCCAAGCCACGTTCCCCACCCGTCCCTCAAGGACAGGTTCCTCAGCTCCTCACCCTCACTCGACAACGAGCAGGGCATCACCCACAGGTGATTTTATGAGACTCACTGGTCTTCAGTATACTCAGGCTGCTTAACAGCCACTCGGGGCTTCTCAACTTAGCAACAGCATCAGCTTTTGCCTTCTCAGTTGGCTTTTCTTCTCTGCCTAGCTGTTGGGCACACATAGGCTGCTTTTGGCCATCCCACTGGCCACCCCCAGATTCCCAAAAGACATAACCTGCCAAGGTCCTCTGCCTTCTGGTGGGATTGTCAGTCCAAGTCCATTAGGCCTCTCCCTGCCATCAGCACCGGCGAGCTCCGAATCGTGGCCCTCTCTTCCCAACGATTCTTGCTACCTCAGGGGTCGTTGGCTGGTCCTCTTGGGCGTCTCCTCCTCCAGCTGAGGTCTCATCCTGCAGCTCCTGGATGGTGTCCACCCTCTGTGCCGCCATGGCGCCTCTAGTGTCGTCACAGGCAAACACAGTCTGTTACTCCTTAGTCCCTCCAGGTCTTCGGAGGGCTCCCTACCCGTCTGCATGGATCATCTTGCCGACTTATGCCAATTGTAGAGGCAGGAATGGACACAGTGCAGGTTTTCTGATCCAGCAGTGCGGGTAAAGGAGGAGTAAGAGCCCTCAGTGGTTTTTGCAGGTCTTTTATTGTGATTTACCCGGTACACAGCAGGCCAGGGTGCTGGGGGGCTGGGAGGCCTGCCAGCCTCCCAGCCCCCAGCAAGTCCTCCCTCTATCTGGGCTCTCTGGTGATCTCTGCTTCTGCTTCTTTGCTTCTCTCTCAGCTTCTCTTTCGGCTTCTGCTGGCGTCCCGGTGACACCACCCTTGAAAGCCCAGTCTTAGCCCAGGTGAATCCCATCTACCTATGCCCACACTCTATTCCAGGTGCCCACCATCAGGCATGCATTCAGGACCGCAAGGATCTGTCCTGATGGCGGGAGGGCAGAAAAGCCTGACATTTTTCCTTACCCTACAATGGCCCTCAAATCCTACAATGTTTGCTTACCTAGTGTAGGGTAAGGAAAAATGTCAGGCTTTTCTGCCCTCCCGCCATCAGGATAGATGATGGATCCTTGTGGTCCTGAATGCATGCCTGATGGCGGGCACCTGAAATAGGGTGTGGGCATAGGGAGATGGGATTCACCTGGGCTAAGACTGCTTTTAAGGGCGGCGTCACGGGGACACCAGTGGAAGCCAAGGAGAAGCCGAAAGAGAAGCCGAGAGAGAAGCAAAGAAGCAGAAACGGAGATCACCGGAGAGCCCAGACAGTGTGAGGACTTGCTGGGGGCTGGGAGGCCTTCTAGCCTCCCGGCCCCCCAGCACCCTTGCCTGCTGTGTACCCGGTAAATCCCAATAAAAGACCTGCAAAAACCACTGAGGACTCTTACTCCTCCTTTACCCGGTCTGCTGGATATTAGAAAACCTGCACTGTGGTCTTCCTGACCCTACACCTAGTCTGTTTTAGAAAAAGTTTGTCAACCGTATGACTTCTGAAGCTGAAGAGCCCAAGGTTCTCCCTGGACCAGTCACTTGAAGATGAGACCCCAGATTTGAGTGCTCCTGCTCACATCTCTTTGACCTTGGAGCTGTGTAGCCCTCAAGCCATCTGTAGCCATTGGTTCTAACATAGCAGTTCATGACAACTTATGTCTCTGACAGAAATGTCTTGCCCTAAATGCTGCAATAAGAAATCACATGACAGAAATCAGTTTTTGTTTTGATGGTGGTCACTGCCAGTTACGAATTGACTTCAGGTGAGGAACAGATAAGTTGGTGAATATCCTTTCTTGCAGTTTCTTCTTGACTTTGACATAAGGAAGATGGTTTTGGAGAAGCAACACTGACCTCTTTCAGAAAGATTTTGTTTCTGTAAACAGGAAGCTTTGGGTGAATTGTAGAAGTGATGCCATAATTCTCTGGCCCTTCCTTCTTACCTTTTTTTTACCTCCTTCATGTATTTTCCATGATTCTCTTCTGTTTCCACCCTGTTTGCCTCATTAGTCTCCTTCATTTCAGTGGCTCACCCATTTCTCTACTGAGGATTCTTCCTAAGTTACAGCAATAGCCTTTTTGCAGAAATTATCCCTACTAAGACAATATCTGTGAGAACTTTCACCAGAAGGGTCTTTATTTTTATTTCATCCTAATTTGTTCTAGAATTGTGCTAGGTTGTGTGCTGTTGTATTTTTACAATATTTACAAGTCACTTTCTAGAGCTGTTTTTGTTTTCTTAGATAATTCTTAAGCTTTTTCCCCTCTGTTTTTAATAAATTGCTGTATTGACAGGTGCCATTCAAGTCTGTGGAAGAAACATTTCTTTGAATTCCTTCTCACCAGAGGCTTTTGTGCTCCCTGTTGATGTAGAAAAGGTAAAATCATATATATATTTTTTTCCTTTTAAAACCACAGAAAGTATCAATTCCCTAGATAGTGCGGTTCTGACTCACATCTAGAAGCTTCACTTAATGAGGCAAATAGATTTCATTTCAGCATCTGATTGGGAAAGGCTGCCAGAAGCACAACTGAGAAGCACCTTGAGGCAGCACCTGTGCTCCACTGAAGCTTTTCCCTGATTACTGTATAATATCTGCCATAGGGGCACCAGCCTAAGGTTTTCTATCAGAAGAAATTCAATGATGGTTGTAGATAGTCTTCTGTCTCTGGAATGTATTTGCTCTAAATCATATAATGACTATGATAACTCCAATCAGCAAATATTTCCATTCCTAGGTATTAACTCACTAAATATAGTATCATGATTTTTCCATCTACTACACCCACACACAAAAAAAAAATGTTGACTGTGCTTGTATTTTAACTATTTTTTTTTCCTGCAGGAAAATGCACACTTTTATGTTGCAGATATGCTTATATCTGCCATGGAGAAAATGAAGTATAATCTCCTGAGTCAACAGCACACAGAGAACTGGAGTATGGACGAAGTCAGTGGACCACTTGCGAATCAGGCTGACGCTGAAGTGACCTTTTCTACCAACATAAAACAAGAATCTGGGTCATCTGCTTCTTCAGACAGTGGCTATGAAGGCAAGAGGGAGAAAGCTTTACCAGAAAGCTTTATGCTGTTTTTTCTCAACATACAGTTCTCCTGCTCTGTCATCCTCAAGTATATCTTTAAATTCTTTGTCTAAAACTTCTTGAGTAAGTTAGATGATTACCTTTCTGTTCTGCCATTTTGGATTTCAGATTGGTGATCATGTTCATTTAATTGCCAAATTGATATGCTGCTTTTTCTTGGATATCATCATACTTTTCTTTTGGGCAGTGACTAGTATTTTCCCTCCTCAATTGCAAGGCAGCTGTGCTCATCACTATACCACCATAGTCCCTCTTCCCTGGGGCCTGTCGCACAGTGGTCCCCTAGTTCTTTCTGAACATTGCCTCCTTGTGCAAGTCGTCCTCTTTCATTTGTTCAGCATGACTATGACATCCTGGGAACCAGTAATACCCCTCCTATCCAGGATCTTTGGTGCTATGGCCAAGGTCAAGGAGGTGGTGTGGGGTCACTCAGCTTACAGGTAAAGACAAAGCTTGGTGAGTCCCAGAGTAGAAGCAGCAGCCTTCTTCTGGGATCCAGGAGAGAAGGGCATCTAAACTGAGAAGCAGAATTAGGGTTTATCATTTTCCTGCAATTTACTGAATGTGGTCCTGGCTTATGTCCTATATTCTTTCTCTGTACTCATTTGCTGGAGATTATATCCACTGAACACCTGTCCATCACTCCCTCTCAGTTGATAACTCCTTAATATGTTTCCAGTCCAGCATCTCTGTTCTCAGTGTTTGCTCTATAAGGCCAGCACCTGTTGAACTTGCACACCTGGTTGGTCCCCCAGGATTGCTAACAACATGTCTAAACTAACCATCCATCTCTCCTGCACAACTCCTTTCCTTCAAAAAAAAAAAAAAATAAAACATGTCCTTCCTTTTGACTTCCTTTACCTGCCATCTTAGCCATGAACCTCTTAGTAATGAGGAAGAACTCAACTCCATGTGGCTTGTACAATGCCCAGAACAAAATAGGATTTCAATAAATAGTCAAGTGCACTCCCAGGCTTAAATTAAAAGACATTTTTTTAAAAAGGAGATAGGGCATTATATTTGAATCCAGTGGTAGAAATACGGAACAGACTAGTGTAGTGGCAACTCTGGCATCTGTCTTTTCTGGGGCATTGTGGTCTTCCATCTCTTCTTCATTCTTCTTGTGTGTGTGTGTATGTGTGTGTGTGTAGAAGAACTGGGGTGTAGGCCAGAGGTGTGCATGTGTGTGTGTGTGTGTGTGTGTGTGTGTGTGTGTGTGTGTGTGAGAGAGAGAGAGAGAGAGAGAGAGAGAGAGAGAGAGAGAGAGAGAGAGAGAGAGAGGATTCACCAGAGACAGAGTGGGGAGCAGAACAGGCAGATCTACTGAAATACACTGCTGAGGGGAGCAGCAGGAGAGACAGGAGAGGTCTGCTGCGCCATGTATGTTAGCTCCCTGGCTGGCTGCCAGGGATCGAACTCTGGCTGTCGCGGTGTGTCGTCATGATGATAAGTGTTGAGCCTTAATCCCTAGGCCACCAGGGAGGCCCTTACTTCATTTCTCTTTTCATTCTTCTTTTTTCTGCAGCCTGGCTTCTCCCACCCACCCCCTCACATGTGGATCCAGCTCTATAGTCTCCTTGACTGCTCAGCCAAGTTCTCACAGTGCAGCCTAGTGTTGTAGGACCCCAAGTGCAGATCCCCAGGACAGAGCACTTGGGCAGAGCATCGTCCCTGGTCAGCTGGCCAGGGAAACTAGGGTTTGTGATATGGACCATCACCCCATTGGAGGCCAGCAGAGGGGAGGAAGGCATATGGGTGGAAAAGAGATGATTGTATTTTAGTACACTGCACTTTTTCTTTAATTCTTTTTTCTGGTGTCTGTACCTTTGCCCCACTTTTCATTTGTTAGTAAACAAATTTCACTCAGTAATAGTGACATCTCTTTCATCTAGTCCTCATTTCTGTCTTTTTCTTGGACTGAGACCACAGTTGCCTTTAGTCGAGTGATTCTGTTAGGACTGCTTGTAGGTTCCATTCACGTGTCCCTAGATGTCTGTTTATTATAATTTTCTTTTTTCTCCATCAGTCTCTTTCTACTTGTTGATCCTACATATCTTTCTTTTAGATCTCTAAAATAGTCTGCTGAGCTTGTGCCACATTTATCCTGGGATTTTTAGTCTTGTGTGATTCGGCTTCCCCTTGCCTTTCTAGCAGCCATCTCCTACCATTTCCCTATGTTGTACTATGGGCTTTGGTTGCACTTGCCGCTTACACTCACTGCTACACACTTCTCACAAGCTGCTGCCTAATCCCTTTGCTGTGGATAGGCTCCCCTGGAGTACTGACTTCCACTGGAACAGCACCCCAATTCCTTCTTCCTTCCCATTTTTGAAAAGCAATCTCGTCTCACCACCACTGTCACATGTTCCCTAAAATGTATCACAGGGCACAGACTTCGTTCATGTGGAATGAACGCAATTTGTGCTCTAGAATGCTCCACAGTGGTCTCTGTGTACAGCTCACCTTGGCTTGTACATGATGGAGCCCTGTCTCTGAACTTTTTAAAGCCCAAGACACTTATGATCAAATGTGTCAATGTCTTAGTTACCTCATGAGATTTTGAACTGTGTGATGGATGAGCAATTGTCTTATTTGTATTTCATTAAAGATAGTATCTTGCCTAAATTAGGCATTTTCTAAATGTTTATTGAATGGTTGAGTGAAAGTTCATGTTTACTTGAAAATTTTACAAATATGAATGTTAATTAAAATTTTAAATTTGAATTTAAAAATATTTGAATTCAAATAAGAATATTTTTCTCTTGACATTGATGATGATAAAAGTTATTCCTTGAGGTTGGCCTGGGTTTTTCAAACTGTAGATTGGTCATGAGAGCACTTAAAAAAAAAGAGACACTTGAAAGTGTCAGCAGGTACCCCACTTGGGTTCAGCAGAGCTTCCTGGAACTTTTTTTTTTAAGTCACAGTGCTAATTGCGTGTTATTGTGAGAAACATAGAGCTGGGTGATATTGTCCCCATTTTTGCTGTGACGAAACTAAAGGTGAGAAGTTGCTTGTCTGTGGTCACCCCACTAAGATTGGACAGTGTGGTTTTAAACCCAGGCCAGCACACTGGGAAGCCTGTTCATATAACCCCCATAACCTATGGATTGGAGTATTGCCTTAACTATATTCATAGTTCTGTTTCTTTCCTATTCAAGTGAACACAGTTTCTTAGTAATGTGACTATATTAACAATGTGATTGTACTAGATAAACGATGTTTTACATCCATTTTTCCATGTTGCTACTGTTTTCACATTTTTCAGTGATGATGTTCCTTGAATTGATAATGCATTCGCAAAATCCATTTCCTATTATTTAACATTTAAGTATTTTTCAATATCTTAATGTTTAAATTTTTTTTTTTTATTTTGAGGTTGAGGTTGGCACAAGAAATGTTTTAAATGGACTGTAAATATCTCAATAGCTCCTTTGTGATCAAAGCCTTCCTCTTTCACTTTTTCTTTATAATGGCATTCTGGGAGAGTTCCCCAGGCTGGTATTAGGAAAAGAAGAGCATACATCTATTTTCATTAGTTTCCTAGGATAGCTGTAGCAAAATAACGTAAGCTGAAAGACTTAAACCAGCAGAAATTTTTCCCTTCCTGGTGTGGGGTCAGAATGAGGTGGTCGGGAAGGTTGGTTTCTTCTGAGGCTGTGAGGGAGAATCCATTCCATGTCTCCCTCCTGGCTTCTGTGGCGTTCCTTCCTGGTCTACACACTGTGCTGGTCTCCACTTGGTGCTGGTCTCCACCTCCACCACTGCATGGAGCTTTCTCTGGGTATCTGCACCTGTGTGTCTAAATTTACCCCCTTTTAAACACCAGTCATATTGAATTTAGGGCTAATGCAGCATGGTCTTGACCAGAGTGCTTGCCAATTGTTTAGACATTTTAATCATCACCTCACCTAATGAACCTACAATTTGAACTTAAAAGTGAGTAAGTTGATTACATCTACAGAGACTTAGTTTCAGATAAGTTCGTGGTGACAGGTTCTGGGCAGACATGAACTTTAGGGAACACTATTCACCCCAGTACAGTGTTTTTTGTTACCTGTATTCTTGGCCTTACTGGGAGGCTAAGATTGTTTGGCTGTTTATTTTTCATTTTATTTTTGAACTTTGTATTTTGTGTGTGTGTTTGTGTACAATTCGGGTATTTTTAATATTATAGAATTCTGCAACCATCACCACAATCCATTTTAAAATATTTCCATCACCCCAAAGAGTTTTTTTTTAATATTCCCCATACAATTGCAAGCCCCTGATTTTGACCCCTATCCCTCCTTTCCCCGCCCGCCCCTCCAGAGTGTGTCTCTGGTTCATAGTTGTTTGTTGATTTTGATTTTTTTCTTTCTTATAGTTATTCTTTTTCCTTGTCCCTTATTTAGGTTTTCTAGATTCCTATTATGAGTGAGACCATCCAGTATTTTTCTTTTTCTTTCTGGCTTATTTCACTGAGCATGATCCCTTCCAGCTCCATCCATGTTGCTGCAAATTGCATGTGTTTATCTTTTTTGAATGCTGAGTAATATTCCAAATAAAGAGCTTTTCATGCCCATTTGAGTCATTTCTACTCTTAGCTCCAGCCCAGGGGAACCACTTTTTTCTTTCTCTTATATTTGATAGATTTTTTAATGGAGATCTTCAAGCACATATAAAAGTAGAATTTCTTATGAAACTCCATGTACTCATCAGTGTTTCAATCTTTCTTTTTCTTCTTATTTCTTTTTATAGGTTGTGCTGTATTACACGTCAGTCCTGTGGTTGAAACACCTGCTTACTATGATGTAATGAAAGAGACCTGCAAGTATGACTTGGATGAATTTGTTATTGCAGGTGAGATTTCAGAACTCATTGGATATGAATAGGATCACCCCCACCCCCCCCAACATGTATTGGCAATCATTACACTCAATACCATAAATATTATAGTGGCATTCAAGGAAACTTCTCCCAAGACCAGATCATGTCCCTGATATAAAAAAAAATAAGATGTGCTTCTTATTGGTAGTTAATCTCTCATCTTAGTTGTAGAATTGAATGTAAAAAGCAGGTATTAATATCTATTTGGTCTCTCAATTATTTTTTTGGTAACTTTACAGGTGAGTTTATTTTGAAATCCCATCTTTAGTGATTAGCTGTAACCTCAGTAGAACTCCAAAGAACCTTAAGTTTGGAGCTGCTGAATAAGTGTTTCTTTCTGAGAGGCAGAGAGCTCATGTGTTCTTATAAAATTGATTATGATTAAGGGAAACAGACTGGAAGACCTCACTACTCTTTCTTTCATTTTTACACAGAACTTGGAGAGTTTAGCAACACAACAGAAAACTGTGGATGTTCACACAGCCCCTCTAAGAGGTATCTGCTTCCACTTTCATCTGCACCTAAACCAGGCTACCCATCACCTCTGAGGTGTTGTGAACCTCAAGCCTCTGATGTCTTGGGCCAAGTTCAGCCAATTCAATGACAGGGATTACCACTTAGAAATGAAATGATCACCACAGAACTTCCTGAGGTGTTTTAATAGTATTAAAAATTTGTATATATTCTCATTTAATGCTCATGGATAGGCTGAGCATTTTTTGTTTTTAATCTAATTTTGTAGATGTAAAAACTGAAACTTGTGTAAGATATGCCTCAGGATGCAATACTGTCAAATAAGACTTAAGACTTTATACTGTCAAATAACAGAAGTTAAGTTTTCTGACTCAAAACCCAGTGCTTTTTTTTAATCACCATACCTTCAAACTTTGATAAATAAAAGCTACTCTTGTGATCAAGGAAGAACTGTTGAGTGTGAAAACTACTGAGTGCTTGATGCATTGTCTCCTATAAGATCCCTCCTCTGAGTTTCTGGAGAGGGAAGGGTAATTGAAAACCTGAAGAAGACCCTTATCATATAGGGGTATGAATATAAATATAAAACATGAATACAGTTTTCCATTTCTTGTATCTCTTACATTTCAGTGTCATTTGTGAGCCAAACTTCAATTCTGCGGAGCTAATAGCCAAAGAGCTGTACAGAGTGTTCCGCAAGTGCTGGATATCATCAGAAGTTAATTATCGGTTGGCAGGTTCTCTCAATGCAGCTGGCTCAGTAGTAAGTACCAAATACATTGCTTTGAATTGAAAGTTCCTACGTTCTCATTTTGCCTTTCACTTCAGACATTCATGTGTTTCCTTATATGGCTGCTGGGTGTTGAGGGACACTTAAAAGGAAGGAAAAAACTGATATTTATTGAGCTCCTCGTATGCACCCAGAATTGGGTTCAACAATCCATGCTTTCACCCTCTTAAGCTTCCTGTTAGGTAGGTGTCAGTGTTATTTTTATTTTAAAGTGTTAGTTTCAGATCCCCAGTGGGACTGATCTGTAGCAGAGCAGGAGTCATGTCCAGGCTGCCGAATTTGAAAGTCCAGGCTGGTCCCCTTGTATGATGCTCTGCCCCCTCTCAGCCCACTGCCGGAGAGAGAACGTATGGCCAAGGCTAAAATAGGGGCAGGGCAAAGCACACTGGCAGTGCAGGGGAGGGGATGTTTAGTTTTATTAGGGTGACTTAAGGGAGGTATTAGCAGGCCAGGCAGAAACCTGTGGAGGGACATTTCTGAAAAGTGAACAAGAGCCAAGGTGCCCTGGAGGGGCCTGGTGTGTTGCCTAAGCCGAGTGGTTTGCTGCAGCTAGATAATGCGTTTCTGTGCCTCTGTGCATGTAAGGGGGGCATGTTGGTCTTTATGGGGTGAAGGTAACCCAACTGTGGAGGATTCTGAATGCTAATTTGAGGGGTTTGGACTTTTTAATGCTAATAGGACAGTTTAGTGGTTTGAAGGGGAGTCACAGAATATTTCTAGACTGGTCTCAGTAGAGCTGTTTCTGCCCTGTATGAAGGTAGCCCCACTCACAAGCCAACTTAGAGAGATTTGATCTATAGAAACGAATGACCTAAACCAAAAATACTGTGAAAAATGACCTCAGCTTGGTGTCTTTTAACTGATCTGCATGGGGCTTTAGCTCTATGAAGAGTTCTTGCCATGTTCTTTATAGTTCAGTGGAAAACAGCTTTAATTTTTCATGGTAATTTTTAATGTTGGAAACACATTTGAATGTCCTTTCTAATTTCAATTCCTAAAATTTGCTAGTTTAACTTGTTTCTATATCCCCTTCTGTGTTACGCAGGTTGTAAGTGAAGAGAATATGCAAAAAGACCTTGAATCTAGTGTGAATGTGGTGCAGGAAATTAAATTTAAGTCGAGGATCAGAGGAACTGAAGACTGGGCACCTCCTAGGTTTCAAATCATACTTAACATTCACCCACCACTCAAGTAAGTCTGGGAACCCACTGGGAAACCAATCCAATATTAATAAGCTGTGATGGATCCCATCTAACTCTTTGTGGAAGCAAGTACTAGAAAAAAAGAATATGTTAAGGGACAGGATATTTTGTTTTAGGAAAAAGGAAATTTGGGTCAGCTTTCTTAGCACCCTGTTTATCATAGGCTTTTGGGGGCCCTGTACATTTTGATAAGTTGAGAATTTGACTATGTAGCACTAGTTATGAACATTACATAGCAATTGAAAATTAAACTGTCTTTAATGGGATGTTTAAAATGACTATTATTAAGCCTTAAAGATCATGTGCAATCATTTTAAAAGATGAGACCACTCTATTTTCCAGTACAGTGTGAACCAAGAATCAATTAATAATTTTAAAAAAAGGAAAATTTCATCTTGAGGAGACCCATATTTAAGAAATGTAACAAATAAAACTATCTTTATTTTCTAAAAAATAATAAAATCTTAAAAGACAAAACTAAGTTTCTCTTAGTATCTTGCCTTGGTGAACTTTCTCTCATGCATTCTGTGTCTAGTTCTTTCTCAAGAGAGAAAACTGCACATGCAGTGGGAAGTTCTTCAAGACCCCTTGGTAGAATAGTTATTTGTTTTTTTTTTTTTAAAGATTTATTTATTTATGCATACAAAAACTGGGGTACAGGACAGTGGTGTGGGGGGTGTGAGGATTCACCAGAGACAGAGTGGGGAGCAGAACAAGCAGATTGAAATACACTGCTAAGGGGTGCAGCAGGCAAGTCAGGAGAGGGCTACTGTGCTGTGTGGGTTGTTCCCTGGCCAGGAATCGAACTTGTGTTGCAGTAGCTGTGGAGAGCTTCCTAGGTTGCGTCTTAACCCCTGTGCCACCAGGGAGGCTAGAATAGTTATTTGTAATACTGACTTTGCTGTTAAAAGAGTTAAGAGATTTCAGTCAGAAATCATTATTGAAATATTCTATTTCTTTCCCAAATGAAAAATGACAAAATTAAAGGCCCCAAGTGAAGAAAGTGTCATGATGTCAATTTCTTTTCCAGTCAGTGAAAAATATTCATTGGCCTTTTCTAAAATTTAACTTATTGTTTTCTATCCTCAGGAGGGACCTTGTGATAGCAGCCCAGAATTTTTTCTGTGCCGGCTGTGGAACTCCAGTAGAACCTAGTAAGTATGGATGATGAATTACCTATTTATTATGTGATGACGGGGCAAAGAACAACAGTGTTTGGCAATACATTGTTTTTGTGAGTGATGTCTTTGATAAAAAATTGTTATAAGAGCTTCATGATGTTGCCCCCTCTTGTAGGTAGAGATCGTTGTGACCTATATGGTCATGTAATGGCTTGTTAACTTTTGGACTCTGTCTCTTATTTCTACCCCTATTGGTCACTCAGCTGCAGCTACATGTTCTCTCTACTCGTTGTTTTGGAGTGTCTGGCTCACTTCTACGGGGTTTGCATATGTGGTTTACTCTGCCTAAAATGTCCCTTCCCCAGACATCTCCATGAATGGTTTCTTTACTTTATATCTTCACTCAAAAGTGATGAGGTTTTCCCTGGATGCCCTAATGGAAATATCCATCTCATCACACACAAACAGATACATGTTAACTTTATATCACTCTTCCTTCCTTTTTTTTATTCTAGTACTTTTTTTCCTAAAATACTGTTAAATTTTACTTATCACTAGCCCCCGAATTCCCAGAGGACAGACATGTTGTCTGATTTATTCATTGCTTTATCCATTGCTCCTATCAGAGTGCCTGGTACTTGCTGAATGAATCATAGACTTATTAATAAGCTGTCCAAAATCTTTTGATGGTTTGAAAAGGAAGCCTGAGGGCATTATTTCTAGGCCAGTGGCGGACTAGAAAAATCAGGCTTAATGTAGTCCCAGTTGCAACTTGCCCACCTGAGAGTGGTGATCACTTGTTCAGCAATGAGGATACCCATAGGTCTGACCTATGGAAGGTGGGAAAGAGGAGTTTTGCTGGAAAGTATTTCCTTGTTCTATTATTAGGCAGTTTTGAAAGGAAAAAAAGACTTAGAGGAGTACCACCTTCAGAAATAAAGTAGCAAGCAGAAATCTATCTGGGTTTCCTTCTATCACATTGAATGAAAATTGCTGTCTTGCATTATAGTTATAACTGATTTTCTTTTAAGTGACTCATCTTCCTAGCTAATGTAGCAGGCACTCTGTTTAGTTAACCACTATATCCTGGTGCCTCTGTAAACAGTGCATGAGTCAGAAACTTTGGACATGTGACTATGATTCTACCAACATTCTAAGTACTTCCCAGGTTTATTCAAAAATGAAAATGTGACTGTGTATGATTGATACAAACTTGGTCCTTCCCTCATGGTTTATTAAGGAAGACATAGTCATCAGCCTAGGAAATAGAAAGGATGATGCATGCAACTACAGAGAACGTCAAGAGTATTATGAAATTTTGAGTAAAGGAAATTTGTCTGGGTGTGGAGGCTGGTAGTGAGAGGTTTCAAAAGGAAGTGACAGTCCCAGAAGATTGTGTTGGCGGAATCATCATGTGCAAAGTTTCGGTGGCTGGCTATTGCAAAGAAATCCTGTGTGGCTAGAGAATAAGAGGGAGAAAATGTCCTGCAGAGATAGGCAGAGCGCTAGGACTATTGGAAAATCATGGTCAACCGTGTAAACAATTTTTACGTTTCCTGTGGACCTCCTATACGGCTGAGGATAATTTTAAAACCTTTTTTTTAATGTTGAGACAACTTCAGACTTAAGGAAGAGTTGCCAAAATAGTACAGAGACATCCCATATACCATTTATCCAATTTCCCCTGATGTTAATATACCACATAATCACATTATAATGAACAAACCTGAGAAATTAGCATTGGTACAATCCTATTTACTGAGCTACAGTCTTTGCTCAGACTTCCCCAGCTTTTCACTGATGATCCTTCATTGTTCCTGGCTCCAATTCAGGATTCCATTATGTTTGCCATGTCTCCCTATTTCCCCACAGTCTTCAATGCACATTGAGGCATTTGAAAAATAATCAGTAGACATGACAAAATGATATTTAATCCTTGAATACTTCAGGACCATCTGACAATAATGATGACAAACAGCCGTCACACCAAAAAAAAATTGCAATTTTCATTTTTTTAAATTGCAATTTTCTAATATTATCAAATGCTAGTCCATGTTTACTTACTGTTCTTAAGATGTCATTTATAGCTAATTTTCTCATCTAGATTCCAACCAAGTTTCATATAGTACATTCATTATTATTTCTCTTTTATCAACTTTATTCTAGAACTGTACTATGGTAATCACAAGTCCATGTGGCTATTTAAAATTAAATTCAATTAAATTCAAAGTCCAGTTCCTCAGACACACTAGCTGCATTTCAAGTGCTCAATAGCCGCATGTGGCTGGTAGATTAGACAGAGAAAACATTGAATCCTCACAGAAAGTTCTCTCAGATACCACTGTTATAGAAATTTTTTCTCCTTTTTTTTTTTTTTCTCCTATGACTTTGCCTTTGCCTAAAATGAGAACAATTGTGGTTTGGCTTGGGGTTCTGAAACCCAGGGCTATTGACTTTGTTGTGTGTGAAGGGGTGTCCTTTGCATTGTAGGATGTTTAGCAGCATCACAGAACACCACTAGCTGCTTCCCAATTGCAATAATCAAAAACGTATCTAGACATTTCCAAGTATTCTCTGGGGAAGGGGGAGTGTCTTTCCTCCATACTTTTGAGGACACTGGTTTAGGATACTTTGTTTTCTTGCAATTAAGAATTGAAGAAACAAAAATAGATGGACAGAATTTATTCTGTAATTACAGTATAATGCTTAGTATATATTCAATGAAATTTGATGAATGAGTGACTAGCTATTGAAATATTAGGATTTCACATATTAGGAAAAGAAGAATTATATCAAGAAAATTTATTGGCTCCTCTGTCCTCCTTTCTCTTCCAATCTTGTTAAATTTTATCAGAAATGTAGAGTCTGGTGGCCAGGGTACACCTCCTGGGTATGTGCCATATAGAAAAAATACATGCATTAATTAGATAAACTTCATTCAGGCATGAGTTATAACACTGTTGATTCTGAATTGAATGTATGAATCAACAAGCTATCTTAAATAAGCCATCTTTAAACAGAAACCAGTTATATTTTAATCTGTTGATAAAAATGTTCCCTTGGCTCACCAGACCCTCACACTGTATTTCCCCCAGAAGCAATGCTCCAGTATTCACTAATTCACCATTCATGGTAACTTTATGCAATAATGACCACAAATAATAATACTCAATAGTATTGGTTTGTTTGCATTTAAAAATCAGCTCTGAGTGTGACTTGGTTCTGAGAGATAACTTGGGCAAATGTGAAGGCATTAGTTCCTCTCCTATTCCTTCCAACCATCAAGGCAGAGGAGGATGATGGCTAAAAGTTGGAACTTCAGCAGCCTGACTTGAGTTGGAATCCTGCTTGTCTGCTTACTGTTTGTCTCTGGCATGTGGCTTCACAACATTGTCTGTGCTTACACTGTTGAAATAGGGGAAGTAATAGTCCCTACCTCACAGAGGTGCCAGAACAAATGCTTGTGTATATATATATATATATATATATATATATATATATATATATATATATCAGACATTTAACCAGTGAGGAACACCGAGTAAGTGCTCAATAAAGTTTTGCTCCTGTAGGCACTCCAGGTTATTTTCAGTCATTATAAGGCAACTGACTATACTTAGAATCCACAGTATGCTAGGTACTATGATAGCTTCTTTCACATCCATTGTCCCATTTAATTCTCCTAGTATATGTCAACTAATATTTGCATGATATTTCAATTAAAAAGAAACCCAAGCTTAACCCTTAAGCTTGCTCCTTTAAGACCCTAAAACTGCCTACCTGGGTGTTTGTTGCATTAGTCTCCAAACCATTTGTTTGTCAGTTACTTATGAAAGCAACAGTTCTGCAGCTTCTACATCTGTGACAGCCTGGGATAACTAAAGAGTTGTTTCACTCTTTTTTTTTTTTTTTAAGCTTTTTTTTTTTAAAGATATATTTATTTATACATACAAGAATTGGGGTACAGGCCAGAGGTGTGGGGATGAGAGGATTCACCAGAGACAGAGTGGGGAACAAAACAGGCAGATTGAATGAACTACACTGCTGAGAGGAGCAGTGGGCGAGCCAGGAGAGGTCTGCTGTGCCATGTGACTAGCTCACTGGCTGGAGGTAGAACTTGTGCTGTAGTGGTGGCGGCTAGCTACATAGGTTGCGGCTTAACCCCTTGTGCCACCAGGGAGGCCCTGTTTCACTCTTTTAATGTGTATTTTTTTTCAATGTGTATGTTTTTCATTGTTACTGAAGATGAGTGTTTTTCACAGCCCTGCCCATACTATGCATTTCATCTTTCTGTGTATTACCTTTTACCATATTTTGTGCATTTTGTATCTTTTCCCTCACAGATTTATCCAAGAACTCTTGGGTGTAACTTCCTGACCTTGTGTAGGGCTTTACAATTCACAGACCTCTTTTAAGATGTGTATCCAGTTTTGAGGTGCTGTTTGTGGGCTCAGGACAGTTAGCCTGAAAAGATCCCCACTTGCCTTCAGTCCTGCCAGGGAGAAGCAGTGTCTGGGCTCCCACAAGATTTCCAGACCTAATTCTCATGTTCTTTTGACTACGTCATGGTTTACAATGCTTGTCATCCACATTCTGAGTATTGGGGAGGGTATTATTTTCCCAATGTCTATTCCACAAAAGCCAAGTTCATGAATGGCCTTGATTTAAGTTCTCCAGTCCCTGCCCCCACTTTACCAACTCCTGTGAAGCAGAGTGTGACTTCAGCAGCAGGAATCAGCCGCCTTCCAACCCTTGGGTGGGTGTTGAGGGGAGAAGAGGGGTTGGACTCGGTGTTTGCTGAGCGGCGCTCTCGCTCCCCTGTGCTCTGCAGAGTTTGTGAAGCGGCTCAGGTATTGTGAGTACCTGGGTAAGTATTTCTGTGACTGCTGCCACACCTCCATGGAGTCTTGCATCCCGGCCCGCATGCTGATGGCGTGGGACTTCAAGAAATACTATGTCAGCAACTTCTCCAAATGGCTGTTGGATAGCATTTGGCACCAGCCTGTTTTCAACTTGTTGAACATCAACCGCAGCCTGTATGCTAAGGCCAAGGAGCTGGACAGACTGAGGGTGAGTTGCTTGCTGCCCCTGCCCTGCATGCCCATTTCAGGGGGTCTCAGACTGTGCCCAGCAAGTTGGCCTTCAAGCCTGTGAAGCTGAAGCTTCAGGGCCTCCTGCCTGCATGGGGTCTTTCCAAGACCCCATACCAAATTCCATGTAGTTTTGCATTTACACCTAGCTTTATGTATTTGTTATTTTTATATATTTGAAGATTTATTTTTATTTATATATGCATATAAGAACTGTGATGTAGGCTAGAGGTGTGGGAAGTGAGAGGATTCACCAGAGAGGGGAGCAGAACAAGCAAATCTATTGAAATGCACTGCTGATGGGAGCAGCAGGTGAGATAGGAGAGGTCTGCTGCACCATGTGGGTTAGCTTCCTGGCCGGGGATCGAACGCATGCCACAGTGGCTGGTGATAGCTTGGTTGCACTGAGACTTTAACCCCTGCTCAACCAGGGAGGCCCTTTATTATTTTTAAATTAAATTGTTTTAAATATTACTTTTCAATAAAAGCTCTTCAGTTTATTGTGCACCACACAATGATTTACTAAGCATATATATAGTGAAATGGTAACTAATTGCGCTAACTAGCATATTATCTTATATGAGGACATAGTTATTTGTGTGTGTGTGTGTGTGTGTAATGAGATTGTTTGAAATCTACTCTTTGTAAATTTTAAGTATTTAATACAGCTAGTCTCAGAGAATCATAGCATGTCAGGTTAGAAATAATATTTAATTTTGATTTATATATCTCCAATGTTATATAACACATGTAATCGTTTCCATCTTTGTTTTCTTACATTAGGATACCCAGGAGCAGCTTTTCCATATCAAGAAGCTGTTGAAGACCTGCAGGTTTGCTGAAAGGTACCACTGCTGCTGGGCTTGGTCTTCCTGTCGAATACCAGACTCTCTCAGCACAGCAGTTAGCTCATGTTGCCCTTTGGGAGTGCAGACCCTCTATTTAAAGTTACCAAACCTTCACTAGCAGCTAAATTAACTCCAGAGGAATGCATCAGTAGAAGGATGAAACAATAGCTAGTGACCTTTTAAATTGTTATTATTTTAAATTGTGATAAAATGCACAAAACATAAAATTTTGTATATAAACAAAAAAAAAGACAGCTTTTTAAATAGAGAGTAGATCATTCAAAGGGTTAAGATTATTTGTTATGATTGGATAAGATGATAGGTTTTTAAAAGTTACTTTATTTAAATGCTATTTTAAAGCATTTTTCAGGTTCTGATCCTTACTTAATGATGATATGTGTTTTTGAATTAAATTTCTTACATGCTTTTTGTAATCATTTAGACCTATCTCTACTTCATGGCATTGGTGTGACAGGTTAATTACTTCTCAGTCCCATTTTTCTCATTTGTAACATGGAACAGGACTCATGTTAAATCAGGGAGAAAGTCAGCAAAAATAGGTTCTTGCCAACCAGTGACATGTGCATGGCGCTTGAGGCACACAGATGCTGCACTTAATTAACAAGGCATGAGGTGGGGAAGAGAGTAGCAAGATTTCATGGAGGAAAAAGCCAAACTTAAAGAAAAAGTCAGCAAAGAAAAGGTCAGGGAGCCTCCAGCAGAGGAAGCAGTGTAAGTGTGCCTCTCATAGGCTGGATGGAGAATTATGCAGTTTGGCATCCCTAGAGTCCAGTCCAGTGGGGGCAGTGGCTGGCTGGGGCATGCACTGCACAGTGATGCTCCTCGTTGAATGAGGGCATTCAGGAGGGGCACAGGTGAGTTTGGGGAAGGTTACATCTGTTTTGACTGGCCTCAGGACATCCAGGTACCTGTGACCAAGTGACATTTGAATCTTAAACTCAGAACTGGGCTCCTGGATTGGGGAGGGGCGGTGGTGGTCATATGCCTGTTCGTGAGCTGTCTTTTCCTGCTGGCTGGGACAACTGTCAGATGCATGAGCAGCTGTAAGAGACACATTTTCCTGCTCATTCAGCTTTTGAGATTAGCTTTTAAGAAATTCTAACTTTCTGACTTTCAAGCAAACTTGCAAAATATAAAGTGGTGAATAAGGTTAATTTGTTCTTGAACCTGTTTTGAAAAATTGAGTTAAAAAATTAACCATGAGCACCAGGAGAAAACAACTGCCTGCTCCCTCCTACCCCCCTTCTTTTTCCACAGCCTCTGTGTGGGTGGTTTGAATTCCTCTTCTCTCACTCTCTGGCAGTGCATTAAAGGAGTTTGAACAGGTGCCCAGACACTTAACGGATGAGCTCCACCTGTTTTCCCTGGAGGATCTGGTCAGAGTCAAGAAGGGGCTGCTGGCACCTTCGCTCAAGGACATTCTGAAAGCATCCCTTGCCCACGTGGCCAGCTGCGAGGTGAGGCTCCTGGGCTGTTCCTTAGGCAGCAGAGCCATGCTTGGGTTGTGCGTGTACCTCATTTTTTCCCTCACCATACCTGAGGAAGATGGTGGCCACACTATCTCCAAGTGGGAATAAAGAAGTTCAGGACTGTTGGGTAACAGGCATGGTCATCCTTGGTGGTCGGGCTGGGAAGCAGGCCTGGGATGGGCACCTTCTCAGTCCAGCAGTCCGGCTCCGCTGGGCGTCCTGTTGGCCTCCCACCTGCCCCGAGCCACATGGACTCAGTATCCAGTGGGACAGAAGCACCATGCCTGTGTGGGTAAAGACTGTAGCACAGCTCCCAGATGTAGAGTTAGATCTGTTAAGAACACACATTTAAAACCCTTCTCTGGTGCCTCAAACCACTTCAAAGTGGAATTTTTCCATATAAAACAAATGCACATTTATTGTTCTTACCCATTCTTTTCAGCAGGACATAACATCCTGTTTCTTCTAGAGGTTGGCACAACAGACATTGAGACATTGATATTTATAGAGAGCTTTCAAAGTGGGGGTAACTCAGCTCTCCATGAGAAGCAGCAGCACCAGTGAGGAGTGCAGCTTTTCCTTCCTTCTCTTTCAGCTGTGTCAAGGAAAGGGCTTCATCTGTGAATTTTGCCGGAGTACAGCTGTCATCTTTCCATTTCAGACCTCAACGTGTAAAAGATGTTCAGGTATTTTAATAATGTAATAAATGAAGCTTAATAATAGCACAATAATGTAAGCATAAAGTTAAGTTAGCTTGAGTTTAATAATACAAACAAAATTAACATAGGCTTAACAGCAGTCTAATAACTAAGGCACAATGTTCTCTCTTTACAGTATAGTAATGCTGGTGTGTGCTTTATGTTAGATTGGAGCAAATCAAGTTTTGCTTATACAGGGAAGCGTATTTACATGGGATAGGGGTGAAAGGTAACATCTCCCGGTATAGGGTTTAGGGAGAAGAGAGGTGGTGGCTGTTTGCCTTTGCCCAAGGTCTTCTGTACTAGGGAAGTTATAGCTGCCCCTGTTTTGTGATTGGCTACCATCAAGGCCTATGCTAAAGTGTTGTCTTTGTCTCCTTTTATACTGTCATGGCAGAGTTGAGTAGGTGGTATGTAGGCCAGGTGGACTACAAGGCCTGAAATATGTACTATCTGATTTTACAGAACACATTTGCAGACCCGTGTTTTACTGTTTAATTACCTAACAAAATCCCAGGCTCTCAAGCTGTCTCATGGGTGAGATCTGGGTCTGAATTCTGCTTTCACCCTGATCTCTCTAACCTATTAGGCGGCATCACAGGATGGGTTCCCCAGCAGAGAAATGCAGGCAGGGTTTGCATGCACAGAGTTTACTGGAGTGTGTTATGAGGTCCAATGCCCTTGGGGGTGTGAAGGCAGCAGGATTAAGCAGAGGGAGAAATTGAACTGTGGTGTGGTTGCAATGGAGGCTCAGCATATTTCAAGGGGAACTCTGGAGCTGGGATGGCCTTCAGCATTGTCCCAGTCACTGGATATGGACCAATGCCAGCAAGGGGTCATGACTTTGAGAGAGGCAGCTCTCTCTAGCTAGGGCCATTTCCACAGAAAGGATGTTGCTTCTTGAACCATCAGCCTCCAACACTCTAAGTAGCTGGGGGAATGGTTCTTGGGTGGATCTGGTGGGCACCGTAGCACCCACAATGTCAGACTCTCTCAGCTTCATGTTCATGACTTATTGGGAACTTTATAATCCCTCTGAGTTTCAACCTGACTGACTTCTTTTTGGAAGGCCTTGGTTTCTGGATATAGACTCCCTTTGTATGTATGTGAGGAAACAAGATAGCCTGTTTGCTGATAGCTGTCCTCCTTGCTTGCAGCCTGCAGAGCTTGCTTTCACAAGCAGTGTTTCCAGTCCTCCGAGTGCCCCCGGTGTTCAAGGATCAAAGCAAGAAGAAAACTTTTGGAAAGCTTGCCCTCTGCAGCAACATGATGTTCTTGAAGAGTGTGAAAAAGATTGTTCAACCCGCCTTGTGATAACTCCAATTTCTGTCTATTATTGATAAGATGGTTTTAGATATCAAATATTTTCTATTAAGAAAAAAGATTCCAATAGTTTCTTTATTGTATATATTTAATGTTTTAGAAAGAATTCAGACTGTTATTTGGGTAGTGCAGGGTTGTCACTGGTGGTTCATTTTTATGACTGTTCAATATTTTTGCTGCTATTTTTTAGAGTCTTTTATACTTATTAAATTGTATTTGAATAATTGTGTCTAGCTAATGTTGGAGCCTCATTTTTATGAAGTGTAACTGACAAGATGGATTACTTAGAAAGGGCTCTCAAAATGGGAACATTTAGGTTTATACAAATTAAAAACTGAGTTATGCTACCTATTTCCTGTATCTTTGTGTAAGTTATTCTGAGTCTCAGTTTACAACCTGTAATTTTGTTAATTTTTGAATTGTGTTGTGGGTTGAATTATGTCCCCACGAAAGATATGTTAAAGTTCTGTCTATAAGGTGATCTTATTTGGAAATAGGGTCTCTGCAGATATAGTTAAGATGAGGTCAGACTGAACTAGGGTGGACCCTGATCCAATCACTGGTGTTCTTGTAAGTGGAGGGAAATTTGGACAGAGATACAGACACAGTAGTCACAGGGAGAATGTCATTCAAAGAAGGAGGCAGAGACTAGCATCTACAAAGAACACCACAGACTGCTGGCAGTCATCAGACGCCACCAGAGACGTGGAACAGACTCCCCCTCAGAGCATCCAGAAGGAACCAGCCCTGCCAACACCTTACCTTTGGACTCCTGGCATTCAGAACTGTGAGAGAATAAATTCCAATTATTTTAACTCACTGATTTGTGGTAATTTGTTACTGCAGCCCTAAGAAACTAATACACATCACATTTTGGGTTACTGGGAGGGTTAAATGAATATTAAGTAGCATGTGTGAAAGCACAGGAACAGTTTCTCATGCATGAGAGGTGTTATGAAGGCTTGAATCTCCTTTTTTAAAAAAAGATTTTTTTATGCATACAAGAACTGGGGTAAAGGCCAGAGTTGGGAGGGGTGAGTGTATCCACCCCAGACAGAGTGGGAAACAGAACATGCAGATTGACTGAAATGCACTGCTGAGGGGAGCAGCAGGTGAGTCAGGAGAGGTCTACAGTGCCATGTGGGTATCTCCCTGGCTAGAGATCGAACTTGTGCTGCAGTGGCTGCGGATCACCTCATAGGTTGTGTCTTAACCCCTGCGCCACCAGGGAGGCCCAGGTTTGAATCTCTTACCTTCAGTCTCAAGATCCAGAACATGGGCTCTGAAAGATAAGAGTTATACAAAAGCCTACCCCATCTATAGGCCTGTGGATGAGAGAGAGATCTCTAAAATGCAGAGCAACAGCCACTGAACACAGCTGCCTCTTCTACTTTGGATGTAAAGTGTTGGAAAGAACTATTAACCCTCAGGTGCCAGGAGATAACCATGCTTTTGGAAGGTGGTGGTTTAAATCACGGTGGAGGAGGCAAGAGAAGTTGGTAGTTACCTCCCATTGGAAAACAGATGAATCCTTGATTTTCAGATGTAACAAAATGGAATTTATCTTCAAATCTCTAGTGACGCCTTGACTATGAATGTTAAGTAGGCCCTTCCATGCCCTGTCATCCGCACAGGGTTGAAGAGGATTTTTGAGGTTCAATGAGAGTGTGTACCAGCCCACGTGCTCCTGCTGGTCCTGCTCATGGGGATTTGTGTGTCACAGGGATCAGGTTCTAATGGTCTGTCCCCATAATGAGGCCTCAGAGGATGATGGAGACTGAAATTGCCATGTCCTATGGAGCAACTTTGCCTGGCAATGTCCCACAAGGGGGGCTGAGAATGCTCTCCTTCTCTCCTCTGGCTCCACCCCACAAATAGCTGCCCCTTGGCTGTTCCTTGATGTTAGTGATGATAACAGAGGAGACCAGACTGAAGACAATGTCCTGAGTGACCCCTTTAAGTGGTATGGGGCCATAGGGAAAGGAATTTTAGGGTGGCCAGAGCACCATCTGCAAGATGTGGGGGATTTGGATGGGCATGTATCCTTGGCCTTTGTCCCATCACCACACAGCAGGGCCTCATGTCCAGGATGTAAGGGCACTCTATCCCCAGGCAGGAGTATGGGGACAGGAACACAGAGGTGTGGGGATGAAGGGATGAGAGAAGCCTGGAGGTACAGGCAGAAGCCTGAAATGGGAAGGATTTGCTTGTCCTCTGTGGTTAATCTCTTGGATCTGAGCCCTCCACTAGGAGAGATGCTCTTAAATGTGTAGGGAAGTGGAGCCCCTGCTTTCTCAGTTTCACAGCTAGGTTTTTCCAATTGTGTGTGCAGTTTGGCTACAGCAGTATCACTCATAAAATCACAATTTTAGTTTCTAGCGAAGTGAAAAAGGGAACCATGATGCCTCTTTTTAAAGCAGATGGAGAATTGTTTAAAAATAGAGAACTTTAAATGTTTGCTTTAAGGAATCCTGCTTATAAAATGTTGACACATGAGACAATGCAATTGAGTGTCTTATTCATCCTCTTTTAGCTATGACCTCAAGAAAGCTTGTGACTAGGGCTTCCTGTATTAGTGTCTGGCTGGTGCTAAGCCAGCTGAAATCTGGAAAGAGGACCTAAAGTACCAGTCTTCTCCCTGATGAGTCTATTATGCTCCTTCAGCAAGAAGAGGAAGCTGGGGTGCAGGGGGCCTACATGGGTATGTTAGATCACCAACTCTAGGGTCCAGAGTCCCTGGCCTGTAAGCCGGCCTGCACACACAGAGTTCCCTGCCACCACAGCAGTTAGAGGTAAAGAAGCTTTATTTGTTCATTTTAAAGTCTTCCCTTCTGCCACTGCCCTATCTCTATTATACTGCTCTCATCCTCAGTTCCATATACTTTTTTTAAAAAAGATTTATTTATTTATGCATACAAGATCTGTGGTACAGGCTGGAGGTGTAGGGGAGTGACAGGATTCACCAGAGACAGAGTGGGGAACAGAACAGGCAGACTGACTGAAATACATTGCTGAGAGGAGCAGCAGGGCGAATCAGAAGAAGTCTGCTGTGCCATGTGGGTCAGCTTCCTGGCCGGGGATTGAACTCATGCTGCAGTGGCTGTGGATAGCTTCACAGGTTGTGTCTCAACCTCTTGTGCCACCAGGGAGGCCCAGTTCCATGCACATTTATTACATTTCAAATTAAGAAAAAATTTACAAAACCTTTCAATAAGCCATATGCTGAACAAATACTATTTCTGGGCACATAAAGATGCCCTGGGGAAATGGTTTGGCTATAGAGCCAGTGACCCAGATGTGAACTCTTTCTCCTATACTCTGCCCATGATGGACAGTAGAGTGTCCAACAAGAGCGTACTGTCTTACCACTGAAGGTGATGGTTCTGGAAGCAGCTTTTCTATTGACATCCAACTAAAAATGGCTGGTTAGTAGCTGGTGGACAGCTTTTGTCATGTCAAGTTAATGGGACAGTGGCTTCCATTAATCATGGGTCTACAAGAAAACTATGAATGAGGGTGTGTGTACAGATTATAGTATATCTATCAACATCTGGTTCTTTTCTTCATGATTACAAAACTAAACCACCTGTCCCAGCCCCTTTACATCTGTGTGAGCCAGTGTGGTTGAAGGGTGGTTGATGAAATACAAATGCAGTTAATGAACATTATTTATAGTCTGCTGTTAAACATCCTGCTTGAGATAAGTGGGTCAAGATGATGTGGTATATATGCACAATGGAATACTACTCACTCATCAAAAAAGATAAACTCATGCCATTTGTGTCAAGATGGATGGAGTTGGAAGGGATTATGCTAAGTGAGATAAGTCAGAAGGAGAAAGACAAATACTGGTGTCACCTATATGTGGAATATAGAGAAACCAAACAGAGGGTCAGACAAAACCAAACTCAAAAATTAACCCTTGAAAGCTGACCATAGACCTGAGGCATTCAAAGTGGGAGGGGGTGGGGGAGCAATGAGAATGTGGGGTGGAAGCCGAATGGACTATGGTGGTAGATTATGGGTGTTTTGCTGGTGGGAATGTTATGATAACAACACCTGAAGGGTGATCCTATACTTCCAAAATACAAATGATGATGCAAACCAACATTACCTCAAAACAAATAAAAAAGACAAATAAAATCTTAAACACCACTGCAAAAAAACAAACAAACAAACAAACAAACATCCTGCCCGGGACCCCAGTGAGCCCCAGGGTGAGTCCTGGAAGCAGTCCTGCCAAGGAACCCCCCTGCAGATCCCAGCGAGCCCCAGGATAGGACCTGGAAGCTGCCCAGAGCTGGTCAGTCCTTGTAAGCAATGAAGCAGGCCCTGCAAGGGGCACAGAATGACAGGCCCTAGCAGAAGCAGTGACATGGCCTGGTCCTGACTGGATACACCTCTTAGAGTAATGAGCCAGAGGGACACCTTTTGGAGAGATAGTCCCCTGGATAGTAGGGGACTGATTATCCTGGGGACGATAGAGACCAGCACAAACTTCAACATGGTTGACACTGAGGAGTTGGGTGGAGAGAGAATTCTTGAGGTAGTATGGTGTAGGGAACACTGGTGGCAGGGTTCTTAGCCAGGCCGGGAGCCCTGGGAAGGGGGGAGTGGAGGTCTTGTTGAGGCACAGTCTGTTGAAAGAGAGGGACACGTTGTGCAGGAGCTGGAGTGTCTCATACAGTCTGGGTCTCTGGTGAAGATAAGAGCATAGCAGGCATCCTGATCTGCATTACTCCCACCCACTGCTCACCCCGCCTGGGGCTGGTGCTTACCTACTGAGGTGCACTGAGAGCACAGGGAATACCAAGTCTTTCACCCCAAATCTCAGAGAGGATGGATATTGGCAGTGCCACAAACATAAGCCAGCCTTACTCTAACTTCATCTGCCCTAGCTAGAGGCCTCCAAGTCGCTCCCCCACCCTCCTGATTTAAGTAGTTAATTTGCATTTATGAGTAGAATATATTCACCTTGAGATATTATATTCACAC